TTCTTAAACATGAGTTTTGTGATTTAAAGAATGCAGTACTGTTTTGTTGGAAATTAAAACAGTGTGACCCAAACTCTCAAGTTCCCCGGCCCATTGTGATTTGATGTAAAAAAATCATTGTAAAATTGAAGATCTTATTATACATACTTTCATCGTATGATCGATCATATGGACAGATAGCTAACTGTGAAATTTAAACAGAAGATGTCCATAAATTTTTGTATTACAATATACTCTTTTTTGGATATATTTTCTTAAAGTTATAATCAATTGATATTTTTTAAGATTAAAAATACCTAGTCTATTATTAAATTACTTACTTGAAAAGAAAATATTCATTTCACCATATTTTTTGATGAAAAATTTTTTTTTTAATAGAAGAAGCTTGTGGAAGTAAACAAGAATATTATATGAATATATTATTAAATAATCATATGAATATTGACTTTTACAGAAACTAATTCTGGCTTCGCCACTGTGTGAGCTCTTTGATGAAAAAGAAGAAATTTCAAAAAAAAAAAAGTAAACAAGAATTTTCAAATTGTAACATTTTATGCAATAAGAAATGTTCCTCTATTTTTTGCTCGCATTTTTACTTCTATTCTCCAACCTCTCAAAGGTCTCAAAGCACGAAAAGATATCAAAAGCTTGGTATCTATAAGACAGCCATGTTTGAGGTCTAGTAACATGCAACTTCCATTTACTTGATGGGTAAGCATACCTTTTATTATCCAAATGATAATTAAAAAGTATAGCTTTATGGAGACTATTTAAGTTGCAAAGACACGAGACTATATATGCAACAAATTCTTTCCACCATAGTCTTTCAGGACATAAGTCCCTCCTCTCAGCCGATTCTTTTCTTTTTTTTTACCATAATTGTTACATAACCTATATTGCATAATAGCCAAGGTTCGAGTGCTGGTTTCCATTTCTGTTTCTTCTCCAACATGTGGAGAGACCTGACTAGCATAGTCTCTTTCCACACTTTGTGATGAGAGAAATCGTTCAGTGAAATCTTTCATGATCTTCTCTATTATTTCTAGTGTGTGGAGTCTTTTCCCTTGCAAAAATAGATTGTTTATATCATTCCATAATAGCCAAAATGTACAAAGAAAACTTCTTATTTTCAGAGATATTTGTATCATATTTCCTAATACCAGGAGATATTTGTACCCTGCATTAAAACCTTTTTCAGAGCTCGAGTAGTTAGATATGGTCCAAATTTACCTAGCCTATGTGCATGCAAAAAGAGTATTTTCAGGTCGGATCAAAAGTTTCGTGTCTGATTTTGTGTTTTAGTTTTGTTATTACAGTTTACCCGAATTAAAGATTAAAACCGGTTTATATTATGATCTAATCGTGATTTTGAAGAGAAATCGCGAAATTCAAATTATGTGTGGTTTTAGGTTTAAAAGTATAAAATGGGGATACAAATGGAAAAATTTAAACGTGTGTAGCGTTAGAGAGAAACTTATACTTTGTATGGAACTGACGCTATATGAAAGTTCTCGGAGGGATACAGATCGTCGACTCCTACATTATGTTCTGACAAGTACACGTTATCAAGTTATCCTAGTTAACCTAATGCATCTTATTCTTGTAATATCAATCTTAAGAATGCCTATTCAAATTGCAAACATATGGTTTTAATCTTTAGTTAAAAACAATGTTCAAGAAAGCGTTAGGCGATAATCGGGTGGTGATCCAATGCCTAGTGTCTAGAACGTTTAATCGGAACCTAGGCGATTTAATAGACGGTTTAAGCGTTCTACAA